GAAGCAGATGCCTGTTAAGTTTCTAAGTTTAATCTCTGCAGTTTAGACTAACCTGCAAAGACTGACTCGATTCAGCCTTGGGCTTCTTGACTATCTGTACTTAGCCTAGATGTTCTAAACACCTGAAAACCCACTGACAGTAGTTGAAATTGTAGGTAGCAGGAAGACTTCCAGCTGAAGAGGTAGGTGCACAGCATCTCTGAAATCCGGCCTACCATGTCTTGAGCTTGAGCAGTCAAAAAGGTGAGTCACCGGAAATGAAAGGCCTTTGCTGAAACTGTGATCTTTGCTTTTGGGCATGGCAGTCTGTCAGCAATTCTGTCTCATGTACTATTGAATATGTCTAGCTATAGTGAAATTTCTACATCTATCTAATGCATCTTTTGTACTTCAGTTATGTGATGACCTTTTCTACAGTGTCAAAAGTAGATGGTAGTTAGAGTATAGTAATTCTCCTTTCTGGAAATCCCTATAATTACCAAATGGAGAATGAATAGATAACAGATAAAAAGATCATTCTGTTTTGGAGGATTTTAAGGTTTCAAAATGTAGTTTTGTTCAAAAACTCAACATATCTAAATTCTACTTGAAACAAAATTGCTTTGCTCCATGCTCTTCTCTTCTGAAGCCTGCCTGGAGGACTTTCCCAGAGGCAAGACTCCAGGACCTTAAATTTCCCGTTCTGACATAAAATAGGGATTCTGGAATTTGGAAGGCCAGGCTGCTAAGGAACAAGGACTCCCAGTGTTTTTACAGAATCATAGAGAAGTAGGATGGGAAGGGACCTCCATAGGTCATCTAATCCCACACCCTGCCTGAGGCAGGATCATTCCTATCTAAACCATCCTATACAAACCATAAATCTAAATACTTCGTAAAACTAAAGTCAACCCTTACACAACACAAGACACAACACCTTAACTTTTCATAAGTAAAGCAGGGGAACCATGGCAGCCAATGTCTTGCTTTTATCCAGGGTTTTAATATATGCTCAAGAGATCCTAGGTAGAGGGCTATGCCCTCCCTGCCCCCCAGTTTGTACTTCTCTGACCATAAAGGAAAACTTTTTTTTCTGAACCCAAATATGGTGAGTCTGACCCTAAGTAAGATCCTTTAGCCAGGAACCTCTGACTTTAAGTCCCAGCAGGAGCTGGCACACCCCAATTGAAAATTGCCAGCCTTGGCTGTAGCCAACACCTAATGCTTCTGAGGAAGGTGTAAAAATACCCTGACACATGTAGCAGAAAGGGGTGGGGGGAGAGAGCAAAGCCCATAAGCATGGAAAATATCCATAGTAGAACAGAGGTATAGCTATGCCTAGATCATCCCCAACCAATGGCTGTCCAACCATTTTTTTAACATATTCAGTGATGGAGGGTCCACAACTTCCTTAGGGAGTCTGTTTCATTGCCTCCTGGCTTTAACAGTGAAGTTTTTCCTGGTTCAAACTCTGTGCTCTTCAGCAGCCTGCCAGGCAGGTTTCCATTACAGCTTAACCTTTGGAACAATTCACTGAAGATTGTTGTGGATTCTTCATCATTGGTAAATATTAAATCAAGAGGGGTATTGACCTAACATATAAGCTCTAGTTTAAACAGGAATTAAGACCAGAAAGTCCTCTGGCCTATGGTGTTACACAGGAGACCAGACTAGGCAAGCACACCAACCCCTCTGGTGAATGCATGAGACCTGTCTGGCAGTGTTCCAGATGGCTGGAGGAATTGAATCAAAACTGACACAGCCTTGATGGAATTAGTTTAGAAGAATGATTTAATTCCAGTGGAAATGTGCTGGCAAAGTTTTATTCTACCAGGACTAGTCAAGAGGTGCACGTGGAAGATGTTTTTAAACTAAGTGATAAGCCAGATCAGGCAACTGGTGCTCTGGCAAAAAAAACTTGCTCATGGCATTCCTGGAGAAATGATGCTAGGGTTAAGTGCCTTTTAATTAATCTTACCATGTTCACATGAGATAATAGACTGGTCAATGAAATGTAGCATATGTTAAGCCCCTGGTGATATTCTTTATAGGGGTGTCTTCACCAAGGCTGTCTGTGCTTGCCTTGACAAAACTAGGATATTCAAGACTGGCATGTCAATGTTTGCAATGCTCCTTATATAAATAGAACAAACAGAGCAGCATGACCAAGTGCTAAAGTTACCTTCTGGCCTACCAGATATCTAGCACGGTACTGCGCTTATAGGGACCTCAGGGCAGTTCTCTGCCTAACCTAAACAAATACATTGAGAAACAGAGACAAGGGAGACAGACATGGAAAGACGGAGCATGGAAGAAAGAATCACTCGGTGTATGGCTGAGAAGTTAGCGAAAAAAACTTTTCTTGACGCTCTAAAATCAAATGATTACAAAACTATGGAAGATCTTTTGCTTGAAAAGCAAATAGATGTAGACACGGTGTTCGAAGTGGAAGATGAAAACCTGATTTTGGCATCCTACAAACAAGGTAAAACAGTGACAGCTATTGCATTTGCAAAACATGAAACAAATTGGTTTTGGTAACTAAATTTTGTAGAAAAAATGGTGGTAGTTTGTTTCTTCAAAACATATAGCTTATACTGAGCTGTAAAACTTTTTAATATACTGCTAGCAGGGTTTCAATCTAAGGGATAAATCTAGGGTTGCCAGCTCTGACTGAAGCTATTCTGGGAGATTTTTCCCCGCACAACACAACGTAATGTCATTAATAGGGGTGCACTGATAGAGATTTTTTGGGTTGATACCGGTGGTCGATTTTTAACAAGCCATATTGGCCAATACCAATCCAATTGCCAATACGCAGCCGGGCTGCTCAGAGAGCGGTATCTGGCTGGTAAGTCTATTGTGGGGGAAGAGGCGAGGGAGATAGGAAGGGGCATGGGGGAGGCAAATCGAGGCCCCTGTGGTGAGGGAGGGAGTGGAGCTGGGGCAAGGGCAGGGGCAGGGGCAGGGGCAGGCACTGCATAGCCGGAACAGCGTGCAAGATGGAGCTGTGAGTGGCTT